GGAATATCAGTACCAGTGGTACATACCATGGTACGAGCATAGACTAGAGGCACATCTTTCACTTCTGAGTCGGGTTCTTGTGCGGACACGTACCTTCTTCCACGAAAAACACACTTGTTGCTACACAAAAATTACGTGTGCTTGTGGTTTTCACGCTTCGTTTCATGAGCAAAACTCGAAAGAAAGCTTGACCCAGAACGTAAGGGGGGAACGGGGGGGGTGCGGCGGACGATTCGAATGGGGGGAGGTCCTGGATGGGAACATTTCAACGTAGCGGGGGTCGTGCTTGCTGCCGTTCTATTCACAGGAGGGGTCTTGGGGAGAGGAACGAGCGTCTGTCTGCGGAGCAACCGGCACCAAGCGGCATGATGATGAGTGTCTTCCTCTCTCCCAGGAAGCGAGCAATAGAGGAAACTCATGCAATAAAATATAAAATTATCGACACCCCGCCGACTCCCGCGGCTGTCATCATCACCGCGGGCGCTACCACCACTAATCCTACTGTGCTCTACTACAATACCACAACAACGGAAAGCAAAGTTTGCCCCCGTCGCGTTCCCTTCAAGCAACGGATGGAACCAATCTTCTTGTGGTCTTGCGCTTTTTTTGTGCCGCACCGAGTTGCGTGCATGCGCTGCCAGCCCTGCAAGAGGGTCGTGGTCGACCTTGCTGGCACCGCAAGACCGTCCCTCGACTAACTAAAAGGGAGAGAAAATAAAATCCAGGGGCTCCTCCCACCGAGAGAAAATGTCACCAATATTTTACCTTTCTTCGCTGGGAAATTCCAAGACTACTACAGAACGCACCATATAAACATATAAATATATATATCATACATGTACTACTTATGCATACATGAAAGAACAGCAGAGAAAAAAAAAGGGGGGGAGATAGACAACGTGTACAGCAGCGTTGTACAAAACTAGCCCGATCACTCTCTCTCTCTCTCTCTCTCTCTCTCTCTCTCTCTCTCTCTCTCTCTCTCTCTCTCTCTCTCTCTCTCTCTCTCTCTCTCTCTCTTTCTTTCTCTCTCGCTCGCGATAAGAGCTGTCAAACGAAGCACACCCAAAAAAATACATCAAAAACAACAGGCAAGCCCAACCCCCTCCAGCAAAAGGGACACCGACGGATAGTTCTTTCCCCTGCTGACCTTCCTTCCCCACGTCCCGTCCATCCATGTACGTACGCGAGGGTTTGTGCCTGAACGCACAGGCAACGCAACCATGACCGGTGTGGGACGGGGATACACTGATGGTGGGGGCGAGGGGCGGGGATGGGAGTCGTAAATGGTACAAGCATACATGTTGCCTTGACACTCACTCGCTCGTGTCAAAAACGCAAGCTAGCGCGCGCATACATGCAGACACAGGGACACGAAACACAACAGGCGACGTAACTGTCGCCACAACTATCCGGAGCCAAGTCTGTCTGCGACCGACTGCGCATGCTCGTCTCCATCGACGGAACCCCCCTCCCCCCCCCCCTCCCCGCCCTCTTTTCTTTTCTCGTATCCACGCATCGTGCCCATACCCACATGCCCGAGAAAAATAGTGATACACTTCCACCACACCAGGCAGACAAGGCAAAAAAAAAAAAAAAGACAAAAGACAGATACCCGCCGATCCACCGGAAAAGAGGGCGGGCCATGACACCACGGGAATTAAGCAAAATACAACAACAGGAAGGAGTCTCTCTTGAAATGGTATTCCCACGGCCACTGCGGTTCTCTCACGCACGACATCAACAGGGGGGTGGTCCAAAAGGAACCTCGTGTGTTGCTACTACCTGCTCGACATTTTGACTTAATAAACCAAACCAACCTACCGACACGCAGACCAAAGTTCCAAAAACTGGCAAAGCAACAAGTTCGCCGCGGGCTCTTCGAAACGAGGCGCCGCGTTCGGTCTGTCTCAGGATAGACAGAGAGAGAGAGGGAGAGAGCAACAACAAGATCAAAGGGAACAGTCATCTTTGTGGCTCTCCCTCGAACTGCAAGCATGAATGCCACCCCTCTACACCCGGCCGCACGCCACTATCTGCCCGCCCTACTACAGTAGTCATGGCCGATCCGCGACCACGAGCTCTTCTTGATGATGAAAAGGTTAGGTGGTACAACCGCCCCCGCCCCACACTCATCCACCCACCCCCGATGCCTCGATAAAAACGTCCTTTGAAGTGGGGTGGGTAAATCCAAGCAAAAGCAACACCCGCCCTCTCGGAGCCGAAACAATGGGGGAAAGGTCTAGACACCGCAAACCAATCCTCCGTCATAACCGTGTGTTCATATATTCTCTTTGCGCATGGCTAACCCCAACGCACCCTTCTTCGCGAAAACCGCGTAGATATTATATGGTTGGGGGGGAGGGAGGGGGGGGCGGAGAGGAAACCAGGCGATGAACAACGCCAATAAAGGTGTACGAGGGTTTAAAACATCAACACAATTGTAGTCAGGCTCAAAACGACATGCCGTTTGCCGTCCTTGCAGCAGATGTTGAAATCGAAAAGCACCCTCTTGGAGCCTAGCTCGCCCGCCCTGCCACTTCCCCTGCAAACGTCAACCGTGACATGCTGCTGCAGCTCCAGCTGCTACTGCTGTCGACCAATACGAAAGTGCCACTAGTGTCTACGTTGACGAAATAATATCGCGAGCAACGTTCTCTAACATTAACAAAACACGCCATGATTATCTTATTCCCCCAATCTAAGGTCTTCGTTCCCATCTCCTCTCGAGCCCCTTCCCGGACCGAAGCTTGCCGGTAAATACAGGTAACTGCACCACAACACTACTCTTGTCAAAACAACCGACAACATAAAATGATGCAAATTTTTCCAAGTGTACACAGCACGCGGTAAGTGTTAACTAATCCTGTTGTACCTTCTACTGCTGCTCCCGTGATCCCTATTTTTTTTGCCTTGTACCACCGCACGCCGGCCGGCCCAAACCGAGCGCCCCCCCTCACTCGAGTTAAAAAAAAAAAAAAAACAGAAGCAGAAAAAAAAAGAACACATACACACAGTAGTTCAACACGACAACAACATGGGACAGAAAAAGAGAGCTACAAAGAAACGAACCGGAGACAAAACAAGTCGGCCAAACAAAACGGAGAGAGCAAGATGGAACAACAACAACAACAGCAGCAGCGGCGGCGGCGGCAGCGGCAGCAGCAGCAGCAGCAGCAACAGCAGCAGTAATAGCCCATCTCCCCCCTCCACACACACCCTAGACGTGTAGTAAACGTGAGAAAAAAAACGCCCAGAAAGAGAAAACTGAACAACCCTCTACACGTGCGTAAAAACCGTTTGGGTGGCGGGGGGAGGGACAGAAATCAAATTTGTATAAGGTGAAGACCGGGAAGCCAACCCCAAACTCAATTCGCTGCTTCTCTGGGAATACACACCCATTTCATACAAGTGCCTGAAACAGCAGCAATGGTGGCAGCAGCGGTGGCCGCAAGTTTCTGTGCCACCGTTCCCCCCGCCCTCCCACGAAATCGCAAAACAATATGCCCCCAAAAGGTCACACACACACACACCTCAAGGTGGTTTGTGGAATCAATGCTTTACACACGAGGGGGACGCGGTGGATGGATCGCTAACAGAAGTCAAGGCAGCAGCAGCAACAACAACGGCAGCAGAGCCCAGTACGTTGGTGCACCCGAAAAAACTGAAACCGTCGTGATAAAACCTCTCTCTCGGCCGAGTCGATCGCAAGCGAGGCGTCGACCCGGCGCGACGGGGTTGAGGGGAGTAATGTCAGGAAAGTCTAATCACCAGCGCTGGAGCACACGATCTTACATGCTGCCGCCATCTCATGAAACACACAAAACAAGTCGTGTGTGCTCCGTTCTGCCGCCACCAGAATTCCGCAAGTCGGGGGACAAAAGTATACCGCCCCCGTTCCAAAAAACGCTTCCCGAACTACTAAAGGGCTTCTTCTCTCTCTGTCTGGCCGGCCGCGCCTGAGATAGAGAGAGGGGGAAAGAGCAAGGAGAGCGAGAGAGAAGACTGCTACCGTCTTCTCCCCCCTCGCCAACCAACCTAGCGTTGGCTCTTCAAAACCACGGCAGGACGCCCGCAAAAAGCACACAAACCAGAAAACGCACGGACGTGATTCACGTCCCCCGACACATACAGATCGCGTAGGGTACAAAGAGAAATCTGGTAAAAACATTAACCTGACCCCCATCACGATAACGCACGCCCTTCCGACCACCCTGTCATATTTGGAACTCTAATGGGTGGGTGACCTGGCATTTCATAAATCTTTGTTCTTCTTATCGTCCCGACTCGCCTCCTCTCACGTCCCCCATGTACGTGCTGAGGGGCTCTCACAAAGTTGAAACGAGAAACACGCCACCTGCCACTCCAACAATCAACAAACCCGACCAACGCGTCACACCCTGTACGGTGGGGCGAGCGGAGGGTTCGCAGCCCGGAACCAAAAGGCGACGTGCCCCAGGGAGGGGGAGGGAGGGGGTGGTGGTGCGGGGGAGGGGGACAAACCTCACCCCCCACCCCACCCATACACCCGCCCAGGTCAAGCTCACCCGTCTTTATTGGTTAGTGGCCGGTACACAAGGAAACAAACACGCACCCAGATTAGCCACAAAACAAAAGTGGCGTCGCCCCTCTTCCACTTTTACTTGCAGTGTTATCTGCCTCCCCCCCTCCCCCCCCGCGCGCGCTCCGGTCATCGTCCAATGTCAAAACTCTCCCGCTCCCAACACCACGTGCACCCCCCCCACCCCCCACCCCCCCTACCAACTGCCCGCGGCAATGCGCGGAGCGCGGTTGTTTCATAGCATAAC